TAGTAGGTACTTGCATGGTTACATTGGCGTACGTACGTCACATACTCGTATGTTTTTTTTTTTTTATTTTTTTTTTCATAAAATTAAAATAAAATATCACGTAACGCGGCAAAAGGGAGAAAAAAATAATTCGATCATTCGACGTATTTATATATTCTACGTTATACACTTATTGGTATTCGGCGATGTTATGTGTTATAGACCACGGCGGTACACACAATAATCGACGTGACTGACGCGCGTGTACGACGATTCGGAATGCAAAACGTCCGCGTGAATGATAATAATGATCGTAACAATAACATATATATATATATAATATTTCGTAATCCGAATGGAAATAAAATATATAAATAACATTATTTCGGGCATTATAGCCGGTTAAGTAGGTAATGTTACAGAGGAATAGTGCCGAATATGTAATAATAATAATCCGCGGTTGTCCGTCGTACGAACAATACAGATAATATTCGAAATTCAGTGTAATCGTCGTCGTCAATGTAGAAAAAGGCCTAATAATAGTCTCGCCGTTATAATAGTCGTGTTAATTGTGAAAATAGACATTTTCAAGTTTCATCGAGGTGTTGACAGAAATTTAAAATTTCAATATCAAAATGAATTTAAATTAAAACTTCATCATATACATGGAACTTTTAACACATGAAATTCAAAGTGGGTTTCACCCTAAAAATAATATCAACAGAAAATAGTGGCGATGCATCATTTTAAACCTGTTAGTTTTATACATTTTGTAAAAGAAAATTCCGAAAAAAGTTAATACTTTCCGAGATAATGAGTAGTCTTAGAGGAGATACTAAAAGGATCTTAGAGTGTCTTGTTTAAGTTATAATATTATACTAATTTTATTTTAGAAAATTGTGTAAGTTATGGAATAACTACAACGTTAGCACCCCCCCCCCCCCAANCCAAAAAAAAAAAAAAAAAAATAATAATATAAGAATAAAATACAATCGTGCTATTTATTGAAAACTAAATTGTAAAACCATATAGTTAAACTAACATAAAAACTCAAATTTAGAGTAGGTAGACATATAGAATACTTATTTAAATGTTCTCAGTGAGCGTTTTATGAACTTTTAACCTATATCTGATATGAATTTTCATAACGAATCTTGGAAAATTTTTAATTTTTATAGCAACTATCAAACACCTTGGTCGGCAACCGGCGGCCCGCGTAGCTATTGTGTTTGTTCATGTGTTAGATTATAACTTATGAATTATAATTATCACCCATTAAAGTTGACAAATTTCAAATGTTTCCTGTAAAATTTATTTTCAAAGTTCTTTCGATATAAAAGCTATGATTAAAATACAAATTTTAAGAATTATATATTATTACCTATATCGTTTTCTTGTGTTTACAAAAGCTATGAGCTGGAAAAACTCTTGAGAAAATTTAAAAAGAAATTTTTCAGAAAAAGTGATATCATTATAGATCGGAATACGATTGCTGGTAAAATAGTTGTCACACAGAAAAAAAAATCATAATATTTTACTAACAATTTCGTACATTTTCCCGTATTTTTCGGTTTTCACAATCGATGAGAAAATCGAAAAATGACTTCCTTAAAGTACCATCCTAAGAAAATTTACTTTCAGAAATAACTTAGACCCGTATACATCCTGTGTAGCATCGTATACATCGGAATAAGATTTTTGGTAGAAAGTGTTCTAATAAAAAAAAAAAAAAACATCTTTGTAAAACCAATACCTTCTTCGCTAAAAAAACCTAACGTAATTACGCACACACGACTACACGAAACTAAATACACGTATGCACGCAATAGTTCGATCACTGGACACTGAAAGACTGAACTAGTTGTTAGGTGTTTATTCATTTATTACTACTGAATTAATTAGATTCTTAAGGGGATTGGAAGCAACGAGTTTCTGTCATTGTCTTACACACGTAAAATATAGGGATTAAGACGTGTTTTATTTCCAACGTACCGATTGATCTAGTGGAGCGATAAGAATTCTGGAAACAGATTTAAATTTGTCGTGAAGTCTACTTCATATCGGTTTTCTCACTTTTTAAGTTTATCTCATTAAATTCTAAAAAAAAAAAAAAACATACTAATAAAATAGTAGTTGAAAAAAAAATGAAATATTTTAATTTTTTCAGAAATTAAAATCAAAAATCAAAAGTCGATCTCAAGTAGACTTTGGAATTAGAACACTTCTAAATCACCATATCTCACGTAAGTAAGACAAAGACAGAAACTCGTCGCTACCAATTCCCTTAATGTTTATAAATTATATTGAATTATATTAAAGATAATGACGTGAAAACAAAATAACACAGCGGTCTGCGTTATTATAATATGGTACGGTGGTACGTAAAACTGTAGAAGTCCGTGTTACGCCTTATCAAACCTGGGTTTTCTGGGCGGTGGGTACAACTACCGCACTGTCTGAAAATAAATCATGTAACCACTGGAACGCCTATACCTATATACTAAAATATTTTGTGTTCGCTGGATGCCCCATTGTCATTAATTTGCAGCCCAAATCGTATATAAATACAAATCAATATTTATTTTTTGAAATTTATATTTTTTTCTATAACTTTCCTAAGCCAAGGGCCCGGGGATCAAAAAGTTTTAAATTTTTCATATAGTATTCCAGCGACCGGACACCCTCCATACATCCGCTGCCCGGGGCAAGTGTCCTTAAAACCCTCCGTCAAACACGGCCCTGACTTTCACGGAAACTAATAAAATGCTAACAGAAACACTTTATCGTCGGAAAATACACATCTCTGCAGCAGAATACGGTCGGGTAGACGATTATTCGAATATGGTATTTTGGAGGTTCAAATTTCCCAACATAAAGAAAGCACTTCATACGATTTCAGTGGAAATTTAATAATAAATAAAGGGTCCAATCGCTAGAGGTAAAACATATTTTACATGTTATATAGGATTATTTACGATCTTTATCGAATATTTATTGAACAATATAAATCGTTCAGTTTTAATTAAAAAAGAAAAAAACAATACAATATAGGAGTAATTGCATTCGTTTATAATTGAACACCTAATACGTTTTACGACATTGCGCATGCAGTCGGAACTACTGTCAAACAAGTACATTTCTTTATCGATAACCGAGTTTGCAATGTGTGCGGCATAAATTGTATTGAAAACGACAGTTTTACCCCGGGGCTATCTATAACAATCCGGATCTAAATAATTTATTTATCGTCCCTAAAGCATAATAACTATCGGTGAATGCAGCTATAATGCAGTATACTATCACCTTGCCCCGAATGACCTTTTCTTGTCGCGGAAATAAAACACAACGTGCGGTCGGACAATTTTTCACTGGGGAAAAATTTTCGAATAAAATAAACTGGTTTTTCTTTTGCACGTGCAATATTGCATAATAAGTTATTCGCTTAAATAGTATACGATACTATAATTGGGAATCTTTGGCGGGTTAGATGTATTAATAATCTCCGATTACGCGTTTGTAACAATATTTTAAAATATAATTTATTCATATTGGCAAAATTCTTATGCAACGGTGATAAATTCTCTTTAGGCATTGAATAATTTCAATATTTTAACGTTAAAATATGCTAGTTTACATTAGTGAAGAATACTATAGCCTACGAATATTTATCCCACTCGCTTTACTCTAGGTACAAATTGTATTTATTTACACGAAGTATAAATATTAGATATATTGGTATTAACAAACAAGTTATGTTAGATAAAATCAACAGAAGAAGACCCGGAGGCCGTTCAGACATACATTAATGATTATGAAAAATAAATGGCTAACCTACCGCAAATAAAACAATAAACAGTATAGGTAATCAAATAGATAAACAGATAAATACAAAATTATACAAACGATGTTTTTGTAAAAATTCAAGTAAATATGTGAACGCCAATCGATAATTCATTTTTAAACGAAGTATGATTTATGAGGAATATTTACAACAATTATCTTTATAACAATAAAAAATGTATGTTTTCGGTTAGAAATTAGTGCTCAATCATAATATACGCCTATCAATTATAAGTACTTAACAGTTAACACATTAATATATTTAACCAATGGAGATTTTCAATATTCTCATTCTAGATTTTTTTTAATCTAACGAACGAATAAAATAAGCTAACAAGGTGGTATTTATAGGTGCTTAAGTTACTTATAGACAAACGGCGAAAACTCAGAACAATGCGATAAGCTCAGTTTTTGTCTAACAAGTAAACTATACCGGCAATCACAAACGCAAAAAAATCGCTAAATTATGCAATCAGTATCTGAGATTGAGTGGACCCTGTAGAATTCAGGTATTTTACGGGTATGGTGAAGCCGAATTTTTATCGACATACCTATATACATACACATATTATGTGTATTGTTTGACCAAACATAAGAGCTTAAACATTTAACCGGTTCATAATAATTCGTAATAATAATGGTAAAAAAAAAAAAAATGAGCGTAATTTCAAAATCAAATTTTGACTAAAGTCGTAAATATTACGGCCTTTCAAAGCGTGTATAACCGAACTTCGCTCCACATCTCTTCGTTATCAATGGTTTATCGTTCGTTACAGGTATAATAAATAACTTTATGTATCCTACCTTCCCGATTACCAACCTACAGCAGTGGCCACATCCGTTCCGAATCTCAGCTCTTTTTCTTTTTTTTCGGTACCATAAAAAACTAATTTTGACAAAAACTGTAGTTGTAATAAGCATAGTGATGGCCAAACAAATGATCGACGTCGATATCATCATTAATGATAGATATTATCAGTAGTTCGCTCGCTCTCGTTCCGTCTAAATAACGTATGTCCGCGGGAAAACTGCCGGACGTTGTATACACACAAGTGAAAACTGCACGCGTCAACATGTGTACAATAATAAAAATATAATGACACCGCAGAGCGGAGCGGGAAAATGCCTTTATAAGAACGCCTCGTGAACGCCGATGGTTTTATTTTTCTTCCGCGAGTGATCATAATAATAACAATGTTATATTCGGTTACTGGTTAGTGTTTTCCGATATTCGCTGGGCGACCGACGCGAGTTTCCATCGATCCGTACAGTGCAGCACCGCAACGCGATATTGCAGAATTCACGCCGACCGTAACTGCAGGGTTCGTCCGTAGCGCGTGTATTAATCGAAAATGACCAACAAATACGTGAGCGTAAGGATTTTTTTTTTTGTTTATAATATTATTGTTCATTACTATGAGCTATGTTTTAAATCCACGATCAATTAATATACTATTTAATAGAAAAATCTTCGTCAGACTCTTGTTATAACCGTTCTTCATAAAAATATTCGATAGATTACCGTTATAAACTATAGATTTGTATTGAAAATGTCCCTTAACAATATTTTATAAGACGACCTCCCGGCCCCTCATGCTGATAATTCTTTTAAATTTGCGCAATTCAAAAAGTTGTCCAAGTGAACGGAAAAATTCGGTACCTAGTCTGAATTATTTTTTCAAAAAAAAAAAAATGTGTAATTTTAAACACATACATGAGTACGTCAAATATGTATTTGTACAAACATTTAACTGTGCGAACTGGATTTTACATATAATGTCTAGTTTAGGTTAGGTTGGTTGATTAGGGCTTACTTTAACGTGAGTTTGGATCCGTTTTTAGATAGCTCTAAATGAAAATTACGGAGTTGTAGTTGTAATATGTACATTTGAATCATAAACAGTTTAATATCCTATATAATAGTTTCTGATTAATATACATGGTAAATATGAAATGTATACGAAACAGTGATAATATAATATGTATAAAATATAGAGTAAAGAGTTTAATAACAAAAACAGGAAACTTTCGAAATAGAACATGGTTGGCCTTTTTTTCAAGAATAACCGACGATGCACAATAGGTATACACAATTTGTGTACACCACCCTTGATACGTCAATTAGGCGCGGTTCTAGAAAAATCGTTAAAATAAAAACTGTTTCATGCTTGGTATTCGTCAAATACGCTGAAAACCGGCGATTGGACGACATTAAAATCATTTTGTTTGGAACAACGTTTTTATTTTGCAAACTTTTCGAATTATATATTCGGATCGTTACTATTATTGCGACTTTCCACAAATGTCGATGTTTTATTCGTATACTCGTATTTTTGGAATACTCCGACAGTTGAATTTCATGGCTCTCGTAATTGAATTCAACCACGACTGCTGCTTTACTTACCACGAGTTCCCGTCATCGGGAAAATACAATTTAAAACTTTCACCGATTGCAGCGCGAATAACTTTTGCAAACAATATTATACTTTAGGGAGTAATTATTTGTTTAATCTAATAGGGAAACTAAAGTTGTTCAACTATAGGTTTAATGCGTATAATATATAGTGTATACGTAAATCGGAGTAGGTACGATATATATACGATATATAGGTAACATATTATTGGGTACTGGAAAAATGAAACAATTTTTTTTATTTATTTTTTCTTTTATATCCCGTTGTACGATACGTACATAATTTTATATGTATTTATGTATTTAAGTACTTAAATGGCATACCTATTTGTATGGATATATTTTTATCGTTACTAATAATTAATTAGTATGATGGTTTTTTCGTTTTAAGAAGTTCATTAAAATTTAAAATTGAATAGCATAATTATTTTAAAACAAATCAAGAAAAATGCCTTCACTGTTTAATTAATGATTATACCCCGTAGACCTGTAAATAAATTGACTGATGGCTCGGGCACAGAGAAAAAAGAGAGAGAGAGAGAGAGAGAGAGAGAGGAGAGAGAGAGAGAAATAGAGTGAAGTCTGGGGGAGCAACATTTTTAGAAAATGATAACATACAAGTACAACTCTGCATTTCTCCTTTAAATTATGAAGGTAAGAGAGAAAGAGAAGTTTAACAGCAAATATAACTACATTGTCAGATAAAGATGACATACAGTTTGGTAAAATTCTCGGGGATTGATTATTGACTAAGTATCATTACAAGTATCACTAAAAATGGTTGTACAGAGCAAAGAACTAGAGACACACAATCCATATACATTATGCATGGTGTATCTGCAAGGTTCGACGGTATCCTATGCAATATCACATAAATATACGTAACGTTCTGAACTGTATCATTTGTAAAACAAAAAAAAAAAATTGCAGTAAACAATAAAATATCCACAGGACGGTCGACTGTAATATACGAACAAGTAGAAGACAAGTACGCGATACTACGCAATTTACTTTTTTCTGCCGTAAAATCCGTCCATGCGCTTTTTCGTTGTACGGACGTTTTTCAAAAGAATATGGTGGAAAATTTTTACAAAATTATATTATAATATTGCTGTGCATAATAAAAAGTTTTTGAATTCTTTGACATTTTTCATTCTCGCAATGTTATTACTATTGTGCAACTGTGCAAGTATATCGCATAAAACAGTAAATATATAATATATTCAGTGTAATAATAACATGACAGAGATTTCTGTATTTTTTTTTTTATACGAAATTGAAATGTATATTTTTTTTTCTATTTTTATCATACAATTTAACTCTCAATATCTCTCTGAATATCAACGCTGAATTATTATTTTTATGGGATACAGTAGTGAATCCAAAAGTCACCTAAAAGCGGGAAGGTGAATTCGTGTACACTCGGGACCATGCACACACACGCACAAGCACATGGACATGATCGGCGGATAATATAAAACGGCGTAAAATTTAGAAGGGTTTTGTACAACATATCGAGGATTATATTCGTTTAATATATTGAATAAGGTATTCTAGGTGTTCGTATATCCAAAACCATACTTCAAATGGTTATAACTCCTCTAGTAATGATTTTCAAAAAAAAATTACAAATATTTTCATAGTCAGTATCAAAAACCAGCATCAAAAATTTTGAAATTCACAAGGAAGTACTAAATAGGATTTGCTCCTTGATTTTTTTAATTTTATTTTTTTAATGTCTATGGACATCTTTTTTTACGTTTCATATTAATTGTAAGGGGGACGATCTCGGTGCACAAATAATTAGACAAAGAGCTACGATTATGGCATGTTATATTTGTAGAAGCCGATAAACGAATTACTATAGATGACAAAACCTATTTAAGTTTGTGATAAGCAGACAAAAAAAAAAATAACGATAACAATAACGTATGTGGCGCTTATTTCAATGTTATGTATGGACCACAGTTATCTACTCTAAGTAGATAACCGTGATTTAACCGTTTTATTACACTATGTATAAGGACGATGATTTTTTAATATTATATAAATAAAAATATTGGTCCAATATAAATATAAATGGCAATAAAACATCGATACTTTTGAAACAAAACATTCGATAGTAAGCTAAAATAATCGATGTTTAATATCGAAGGTTTAGTTTGAATATTTTTAAACGATGTTAAAGCTTTACCAATGTTTTAATTTCATTGTAATTTTTATGTTACTTGTCTTCAATGATCACGAGAACAATTCTTACATACAATCGGACGAATTATGATTTCTGTAGGCTGAATGGCTATAGTTTATATTTGGGGTTTGATTGTTGTGTAATAGACACTGAACGTCTCTTTAATGTACTCATGGCAAAGGGCTATTCAATTATTGCCTATGTATTTCAAATTGACGATGTTTTCTAAAATCATCGATGTTTTCCCAAATATATTGATATTTTTGACATCAAATGTTTATTTAAACTTCCAACATTCTCGATATCGGTGGTTTAAAAGAGACACATCGATGATTACAAAAATTGTCCATCTCTAAATATAATAATACAAGAATTACGGAAAAAAACAAGACCTAAAAAGAGGGAGGGTTCATATTCATCATAACCTATAATGACGATCAGTGACATGACATGACTGCTTGTTCATTAATCTCATATATTTAAATTTACCTGACTCCTGCGTATTACACACAATATGTACTACACATCTTTTTTTCTTGTTAAATAGAAATCTCAACTTTGAATAAAATAACTCATAGTATTCGGACCAATAAACATCATTTCGATGACAGGTATTAAATTTTATTCTAAATCCAAAATCGAAAAAATTATATGATGGCATTTCAAATCAAAATATAAACTAGATAATCCGTACACTTGTTTCAACTAGTAAAAAGTAAAAATCCATTTTTAAATTCCAAATGCAGCAAAATATTTAGGCATTAGTTTTATTATATGATTTTTTTTTCTCCATATACTACTTTTTTTTTACCAGGAATCTGATTTTGAAATGTTAGGATTTTTGTTTTGATAGAAATTGTTTTCTAGTTAATATATCGAGGACGACATTTCTTCTTGTTTTAACAGTTAAGAAAAACCAATATATGAAAAATTATGGCGTTAACGATTATTTTCGATGTACTGTTTTTGTTGTAATTCGGTTAAAAATAATTGTAAAAATCTAAAATTTAAAAAAAAAAAATGTATATTGGCGTTTTTAGAATTTGTAAAATTTCAAAAACCTCCTCGTGAATTTTGATCTATTTATAGGCATTTTAAATTATTGAGTTTTTATTAGTTTTATGTGGATAAAACTATTTGGCCGATCAGTATAATGAAAAATAATTCAACCTTGTACTTGTGGTAAAAAAAAAAAAACATTGAATATTTTATTGTAGTCTTTATTTTTGAGTTTTGTCAATGTGTTGACTGTTAGTTTAATAAATTGACTAAAAAAAATTTCGAAAAAAGTTAATACTTTCCAAGATAATAAGTATCTTAGAGGAGATACTAGAAGGATCTTAGGGTGTTTTTTTTCAGTTATTATATTATACGATAGTATAAATATACTCTACGATGTTTTTAGAAGAATTCTCTCCTTAAAAATCAATACTTTTTCACTATTTGCGTGCTTTCAGTGTTTATAAACAACTCATAAAATAAACAGTTCAAGATTTAATTAATCCTGCATATAGCTAATATGACTTTCTAACCCGATCGCGTGTTTATCTGGTAAGTTTATAGGTACGACTTTTTGTAATCTCGAATCTCAATAGCCTTAGTTCTATACTTACTTAATCTATTAGATAAGTTTCCACATGAACACATGTCCCATGGTGTTAACGAAGTAAATAACCGTGAAACGAAGACCGTAACAAATGTCAAGTGTTTTCTGGATACACAAAAATATACATAGTCAATTGTTTAAAACATACAAAATGTAATAAAATACGTTAAAAAAAAAATAAAAATAGTATTTAATAATATAATTGGGTGAACTTAACCGTTTCGAATATTTGTACATTTTATGTGACATTTCTATCAAACCAAATTATTATTACTAATTGTCCCTTCGAGGAACAATTTTTTTCGGTGTTGACATATATAAAAACAAATCAAAATTTAATTTAATGTTCTGTATATGTAGTATTCGCAATTCGCTTACATTTTAAATTATACACTCGGTGCTTCGATTTTTTATTTTTTTATTACTGTTCTATTTGTCAGGTGCATAATTATAATGAAAAATAATCGTCGACGCATTTATGGTGCAGGCAAATATTCTACTACAAAGGAAAAACTTCAAATAAATACGTTACATTAATTATGTACATTTTTTTTCATTTTTGAAGTTTGTACACTTTTTTACAGGTAAAGCGTTTAGTTTTATAATGTTATTTTTCTGGAATAACGGTGTTCCCGCGAACGAATAATATATAAATTCGAAAAGTTTTACATAGCACTTTTATGGAGTACGACTTCATAGAAATAGAAGTTTTATTTTTCGTTTCTATAAATATATCGTATAATATAAAAAAAATTTCCGGTGTTTTGCAGTACAGTGATAATATAAAAACTGCAAAAACCTAAAAAAAAAAAAAAATGCACACATTAAACAAATATATTATATATTTATATAGTAAGAACATGGGCAGTATATATAGTATAGTTTTTTAAATTATAATCAAGTGAAAACATATTTTTTTGTATTTATGTTTGTATCATTGTGATAGTAATTATAATTACAAATAAAAAAAAAAAAAAAAAACATTTCACCGCCGTTTAGTGGACAATATAATAATAGTTGATGAGCGAAGCCAAAATAATGAAGTCCAATATATTATTGTTAAATAATATTAAACTAGGTTTCACTTTCAAATTTGTTTCATTTTCGTACAATTTTTCGATGAAAAACCATTCAATTTTATGTCGTTTATATAAACGTGCAAATAATACATTTTGATCAATTTTCCATCGTTTGCGTCCGTGAAACAAACGTGTTATATCTCACGTGCAGTAAATTTCGTCGTTTATATATAGGTTATGGTTTCAACGGTATGTCGAATATAAAGATGTCGTTCTGAAATTAAAATTATTTTTTTTTTTTTTACATTCGCCTATTATAACATTATTGTGCATAAATATTATATATTTACAAACAACAAATTGGATTTCATCAAGTTTCGCGATAATTCACTAATCTACTTTGTCTGTAACAGATAAAATGTCGTATGCAATATGCATAGTATGTGTTGTCGTGTTGTGTAGGTACCACGATCAGATGCGTACTTTTGTTTCGGTAAATAGCGATATCAATACGCCAGCCGTATTGATGGCATTAAAAATTGTTTGCGAATTCGGATTAAATAAACGTATTTTTCCATTCAATATAAACAAAGTACTACAACAGATTATTTTTCAAAGCAACAATAAACATTATTAATTTAATACAAAATACATTATGTTGTTATAATATGTTTGCACTATGCAGTCAATACTACTGTTGAATTATAAAACATTTGTTTAATAAATTAATCGAAAAAGTTAAGTTTTTTGTGACCCGGATGTAATGAAGTTCGGATGTAACGATCTTAAACTCTAAGTCTCTCGAAAATCGTTGTAAGCGAATTCCAATATACATACCAGGTGATTCATTTAAGTGGGTGGACTCATTATCTCTGTAAGTAATAACTTTTTACGGAATTTGTTTTCGAGAACATTTATGAAACAAGCCGCTCTACAATTTTATATTTATATTTTTTTTTCGCCCTTATTTCGGAGTGGGCAAAATCACCTTTTAAGAGAAACAAATTCATAAATAATAATCATAAATAAATAATAACCATAAACCCGGTAACCTACTACATTTTTTTTTGTATAGCAACACCTGTTTTAACATCAAATTCGTATAGTCCCGCTTTTTTTTTTCAAGCAATTTTGATCTTTACAATTTTTTTATTTAATCCCAGAAATTATGTGACTTACAACCATCAAAATTTGATCAAAAAATATAATTTCTTGTCGATATTTTTGAAAATGTTAACGTATAGTGTTACAATATATGTTACTTTTTTTTTCTCATAAAACACTAGTAAAATTTTTTTGCTTTAAAAGTAATGTGTTTTAAATGTTTGAAAAATAATCGTATTTTTTAACAAACTTTAGATGACTGTATCTCAGATAATTTTTAAAACACAAAAAAACTATGAAGATCAAAAGTACATAAAAAAAATAGAACTTTATGAATTTGGTGTTAAAAATACACTATTAAATTTGTATCGCACATTTGTACATGTCCGTACCAAAAGGGCTAAAAATTTGAAAATTATCTTAAAATGTTTGTTTCAGTACCCCTGTTACCTATCTTCCGAAAATAAGATTCAATATTTAGTGTTATTACAGAAAACGTGAACACACTGGATGCAATCGGGTATTGCAGAGATACTACAGCGGGCCCATCTTAAATTATAATAAAAAACTATGTTTTTTTATGGCGTAACGCGACACGCATAGAGCATAAAATATTCGTTGGTTTTTTTTCTCTAGTAAACGAACATAATATAACTTCCTACCTACTGCGTAAAAAGGAAAAATAATAAATAAATGATAGTAGTGCGAATTTCGAAAAATAAAAAAAAAAAAAACAAACTGATAAATAGATACAAGTAATAGAAATTATTGATTCGCGATGTGTCGTTAAAATATTATGTACACAAGGAACATCATATCGTGCAGCCGTTGTGAAACGGATTACATTTTATTTCGGTATACGCGTAATATTTATGTTCGTTATATTTATTATGTACGTATGTATAATAAATAATATCAAATGCGAAAGAAAAAATACGAGGTTATCTAACGCGTTAAACTGCGGATTTCGCCCATTTCGAATTGATTTCCCATGCGTGTATACGGCTAAATATTATTCGTTTTATTGCAGTTGTAAAGTGGCTATGATAATGATACCATAATATTATTATGGATTGAACGACATTAACTACCGCCGGTTTTCTATTGATACACATTACACATATTATAATAATGTATAGATGTTTGAAAACAAAAAACATTTCACAATTCGCAACGTTTATGTGCAGGCAACGGAATTAATTGTGACTACATACATTTTTTTTTTTGTACCTATTATATTTGTTAGATATCGAAATGTGTTTGAGTAAATTTTACATATTCTTAAATGTTTAGGAAATTATCGATTTTTCACCGTAGCGTGTTTTTTAATTTATACGAATGCGGTGTTACTGATGTACGTTTCAGATTCCGAGCGTGGCGACCGGAGCTATTGGTTTTACCGTAGATGTTTATTTCTTTTCTTTTTTTTCTAGTCTGCGGACACGTTTTTTCCTAGTAAACATGCTCCGATTTTTACGTGCGAAAACTTTTCCGAAAGGTCAAGTTGTCTAGATTGTACATTGGGATATCATTTTTTTAAATAAAAGCACTCAAATGGAAAAAAAAAAAAAACGTACAATTTCGGGTCATTTTTTGATTTTTGAATAATTCGATCATTCGACATATTTATATATTCTATATTATACACTTATTGGTATTCGGTGATGTTATGTGTTATAGACCACGGCGGTACACACAATAATCTACGTGACTGACGCGCGTGTACGACGATTCGGAATGCAAAACGTCCGCGTGAATGACAACAATGATCGTAACAAAAATATATATTTAATGTTTCGTAATCCAAATGGAAGTAAAATATATAAATAATATTATTCCGGGCATTGTGGCCGGTTAAGTAGGTAATGTTACAGAGGAATAGTGCCGAATATGTAACAATAATAATCCGCGGTTGTCCGTCGTACGAACAATACAGATAATATTCGAAATTCAGTATAATCGTCGTCGTCAATGTAAAAAACGCCTAATAATAGTCTCGCCGTTATAATAATCTTGTTAATTGTGAAAATAGAAACTCCGCTAGATACCCATATGCCTTTTTTTTTTTTTTTTATATTCAGAACGTATAGCGAGGGATCTATCGGTTTTAGGGCGCGTGCCTTTTTTTCTGTCCGACAGCAAACAACTTTTCGAAAAGTAATCTAACCCCGATGTATAAACTGTTCTACTTTTTATGAAAGGAAATTTTATTCAGTTGGTGCATTGGAGAGGTCTTTTTTTGATTTTCTGAGTGGTTTTCGAAAAGATTGGGGAAAATATTTACGGCACGTTCCGGCGTTATTAATTTCATTGTTTTTAATATTTCTGACTTAAGTTTTCCATCGAAATTATTTCTCCTATCGAAAAATAACATGCGATCGATTTTGTTCCTTTTAACATGTAACCTTTGTCGAAAAAATTCGTTTTTTGATATCTAAAGTATTTTTTTAAATAATTGAGAAAATCCAAATTTCAACGATTGCATTATTTTATTTTAAATTTATACGGTTTATGTTTTTTACTAAAAATAATATTGCTCCAATAGAAAAATGACCTTTTTTTCTTGCGTTTTTAATTTAATTAGTGAGAAAAAAGTCTGTTTTCTATCTTCTTTGTAGTTTTTTAATAAGTACGTAGAAAGTAATGGCCAATTTACAAAAATAATTCTATTATTATTTTAAGTTTTGTTTTTTTAAATATAATACAGTTAAAAAAATTCTTTACAGACATTTTTACAGAAAACTTATACTTATTTTTCTAAGCATAATAAAATTTCAACTATTGCCCTATATTAGTGGCCACGCTCGTCCAAATATCAGCAATTTTAGATTCGGAGCGTAACGAAGAAGCTATTGATTTTACTTAGATGTTTATTTTTTCTTTTTTTTTTCTTTATTCTAATCTATGGACACGTTTTTTCTTAGTAAACTTACTCCGATTTTTACGTGTAGTACTTTTTCTATAACCTCAAATTATTTTGATTGTACTTTATAAAGGTCATTTTTTTGGTTTTCGATGCCATTTTTTAAATAAAAGCACATAAGGGGAAGAAAACGTAGGAAAACATACCATTTTCACGATTTCATTATTTTATAAAAACACGGAAGATGTTTTATACCAGAAAAAATTATTTGATTGAAAAATCACAAGATACCTTTTTTATTGAATTTTTGATTTAATTTCTTACGCCATCACTTTCATCGCCAAAACTTTTGAGCCACTTTTGAGCTTTTACGGAATTTTAATTTTCGTGTTTTTTCTTTGCTGTAATTCAGTTATAAATACACGTAGAGACTTAAAACTTAGTAATAATACTTATATTTGACTTACCTAGATGTGGTAAAATTTCCAAAATCATCAGACGACTTTTTATAATTTTTTTACAGTGGTACTATATTTTTTTTTTTTATACACTGTAGACCACGTTTATTCTAGAAAACTTGCTCCGATGTATAAGTGTAGCACATTTTTTGAAATTCAATTTTATCTACTTGGTAAATACATAGATCATTTTACGATTTTTCGAACGTTCTTTAAAATAAAATTGATTAACCGAGAAAAAAAATACGATTTTTTCAGAGTTAGAAGAACACAACATTGTCATCCGCCAATGTGCTTGGACTAATCCGGGATTATTATTAATTTGAAATTCTAGCAATATATCGACAAATCATTGTCGATTAACTATATAATTCACTAAGCATTTTGGTCTGATAAAAGATTATGCGTATAATTATTTTCGTAAATAATTGTGTCATTAGCTGTATCTATACTTGCTCCGACAATATCGTTTATTAATTATTATAATGTATACATTTCTAAACGTGCTTGTCCTTAACTAGTTTGTCAGTTGTATACACATATCCATTCTACACCGACTGTTTATTGTCCTTTTGACACCATAGAAATCGGAGTGACGTGGTAGTAAAAGTCTGTCAGCTTCAATTCTTTCGTTCAGTTGTACCTGTTTAATTAATTAATAAATTGTTGATGAAGAAGTGAACTCCTCTCTGTTTGTGCGCTGGTATATATTATATACTTTCGACTGGTACACCGGCTGTCTTTCATTGGTTTTATCAACCCACCTAAAAAAAAAAAATCAGCAAATCCTAAATGAATTTTAAATTAATCAATATATTGCTGGATAATCCCCATCACAAGGGTGAAGATACTATCCGGACACAGCATTGTGGATTACAGAGATTGTTGAAGATTTTGAAAGTTGTGACACCAATGGTTATTTACATGGAACCGCTCGCAATATCCAATTTCAAACTACTTAGTGAATTATTTAGTTTATAGGCAATGTTCTGTCTCGATATTGCTCGAATTTCAAATTAATATATTACTGGTTTAGTCCACAAGGACGGACGGACGACTATGTTGTGTTCTTCTAACTCTGAAAAATGACCTTCTCAGGGTAATCAAACGATTAAAAATATATCATCGGCGTATTTACCGTAGACATAAATACCCATTAGCGTCTTTACCATCGGCAAGGCTTGGACATGAAAGCATACTATTTACGCACTAACCTAATTGTAAAGGTTACATTATTTTGATTTTTTTCTTTTGTTTTATATTATTTCAATAAGGATAAACGCATAATTTTAGATTTAAATTTTAAGCTAAGCGAGGAATGTATTGGTTTTACAATGATGTTTTTTTTTTTTTTATACTGTATACACAAATTCTACCGGAACTCTTGCTCCGATGTATCATGCTCATGCGTCTTTTCTATAAGGGAATTTTATCTAGTTGGTACTTTAAGGCAGTCATTTTTTAATTGTCTAAACAGTTTTCATAATAGGTAATTGGGAGAAGTCCTGAAAAACCGGAAAAGAGAAAAATGTATGAAAATAATGCTTTTATTATTTTCAATTTTGTTTTTTTGTTGTAATTCAGTGAAAAATATCTGTAGAAACTTGAAATTTTGATAGAAACTTTATATTTGCCTTTTATAGACGTGATCAAATTTTCAAAATATTTGAGCCTTTTTAAGCTATTAGAAATTTTAATTTTGGGAGGTTTTTTATACGTGATATTTATTCGGTAGGTATTCTGTGGATAAAATAGTTGTTAAACCAAACAGAAATGCTTGACAATTTAACAGGAGGTTCTTTATAAGTTTTACTGAGTGTTCAATAAGAAAATAAATTTTAATATCAAATTATAATTATTATAATCTTATAAAATATTACGGCCTTTTAAACATGTATAACTGAACTCCGCTCAGAATCATTTATCATTATATACAAATATACGTTAAGTTCCCCTCTATATCCTACTTTCAAAGTTTTTTTTTTTTGTTTATTGAAATAATATCCATTCCCTAATAATATTATCTGCCGTATAATGTATATACATAAATAAGCGTATGATTATGGATGTTTAAATTGGAGAGGTGGCGCATTATTAAATGGTCACCTAATTTCCCTTGCAAATTGTTCCGAATGCAGTTGCAGTTGCAGTTAGCGGTTGCTGCAAATTGTGTTGTGGCACCGCTCTGATAAACTTCACATATAAATAACAAATATTTTATAATCGCATGCTATTATGTGCATATCTGTTGACTGTAATATATTATTGTTTGTTTCAGATTCTCGGTATAATTTCACTGCTGGTGATTATAATCATTTCCTCGACCACTGCGACGCACACGACACAGTAAGAAATGTTTTTTTTTTTTTATTATTATTCATAATTATTATCAAATACGGGTAGTATTAATAAGCTATACAATCTTCTAGTGGAACTATATTTTGAAGTAACCATTTCGCATAATATGGTGTCTAGAACTATTTGATTTTACACATGATTTTAAAAAAAAATTTGTTTTTACTTAAATGAAATGTGTAATTAACTATACAATGGCCCCGATTCAGTGGCGTGCGTCAGGTCGATGCTAGGGGTTATATTTCACGGTCATTGGATTAAAAATATAACAACTATAAGTTTTCTAAGTAGTTTTAACTTCAAATTTTATATTTTGAACAAGTTACAAGGAAAACTCTTGTTTTATTGAACACAAATTTTCTTTTCAGGAATCGATTTTTAAATTCTCATTGTTGGGTTAGGTATGACACAAGAATATTCTACGATGTATTTATATATCATGATTATTATTTACTCCATTTTCTCCAATTGCAAGTTCCTATGTACGTCGTTGCTGCTATATATATATATACAATTCTAATTTGGTCATTTAAATGTAGAAAAGATTTTTAAATTGTATACAATTTGATAAAATCTACTTCAATCCACTTAACACACTTATTCTTAATCTCAATATTACTGAGACATAAAATTTGCACATCACATAATCTCAATATTAATAAATCGATCTGTAAGTCAAAAAAATACATAAATTATAAATATATTTTAATGTTTGTATACAGCGCAAGTATGGAAATATAACAAGTACAATAATTACTTTTGTTGTATTCGTATATATTTTGAAGTTTTTTTTTTATTTTATTATGATTTTGCACATTATTTTTTCTCGAATAACTCTAACAAAAAATATTATACAATTTTACTATAATTAAAAAAAGAATATAAATTCAAAATAGAGGTTTTATAAATTCAGAAGAGTTTTGGTGGTTAAAAATTAAATAACAATTTTTTTTTTTTTTTTTGATAATATTCGTTTACTATTCAATTATAATAATAATTCAATGTAAAATGTGAATCTATTTTGCCAGTTTATCAACAGTAGTAACTTATAATGGCAGATATCAATTTATTTTATTTTAAGATACAATTTTGAAATGTTCCATATTAGTACCATATTTAATAGTACCTCTGATTACAATAAACTGTATCTTGGAAATCGGAATAAAATTTAATTGATTTTGTTTGAAAAAAGAAAATCTGACAATCTTCTTCTTTTTAGTTATTCGGCCGCTAGAACCACCTCATCATAGGCTTGTACAGGATTGTTTCGTAGGGTGTGCCATGAAAAAAACCAGTTGTTATTCTTTTAGTGGCCCTTACATCTTTCCTTTAAACAAATAAAATAGTAAATACAAAATGTCAGTTCATTAAACTTTATATTGTTCACATACATATTATACTACCTATGTATCGAAGAATATTCCACGAAAACATTATTACATATCAAACATATAGATTATCGTGAAAAAATGACCCCCATAAATTTAATAATAAACAATTATATGGTTAAAAATTTTAAAAAAAAACTTAATATCACCACAATTATTACAATAAGCTCTGAATCAAAGGCAGTGATAAGTAATATCAGTTAGTGGATGCCTGTTGATTTAATTTATTGATTACTCGATAACAATTTTTCATATCAAATGGATTAGAGTTTAATTAAATAAAGCCCAGAATGAATCAATTTCATTTTCAACTCAAAAGCCACGGGCGTGGCACAGCCACGGCACTCCTGACATACCTGTGTGCACGGCTATGTAACTTTGTCTCCAATTTTCCAAATTCGTAACCTGTGCCTTCCAATCTAAACCTCCTCCTAATGCTTCCAAATCTTTTTTTCACTACATTCTCCTATCGCATACGTGGTCTTCTAAGTGATTTTTTTCCAGTAAGATTTTCTTCAAGCACCATGCGTATGTGTAAGTTTTTATTTCACCACACTTGCCCACTACATGTGGTCTTTTACTCCTTATTGTAACAATTAAATGATCATACATAATTATTTCTATCTGTTCGTTGTAGTTTCTGCTGATACTTGTAAAATAATGCAATTATTACATTTTTGTTTACAGTGAAAAACATATCATTCACGTTCCACTATTGGTGCATTACGTCCATCATCACCACAAGCCGATTATAAAACCGAAGAGACCTAAAGTGAAAAAAGTTCTGCATACCAAAAAGTATATACATCGCTATCATACTTACTACTATTGAACACATTCATTCAGTCACATAAAAAACATAATAATATTGTATATTCAATCCGATTTATATTTTGTACATAATATCATAAAGTGTTAATTGTATTAGTTTTGTAAAACGTAAAAATATATTGACCGTTATGTTATAATTTGTGCAAGTTTTTTTTTTTGTATATTATAGTATTATTATTATGACGATCGAGTTAGGTTTACTGATTATATATAATAAGTACAAAAATTCAATCCCAAAATATTACATTGTAGGATTTTTTTTTCTTATTAAATACAAAAATATCTGTAGAAGAATAGCAAAACATATTTCAGTTGATCAATTTTCACCGACAAGGGGTGCATTATACAGAGGTGAATTTTTATCATGTCTATCGATTTTCTCGGCAGATTTTTAGTAAATTTTAAAAATTCTGTTTTTGTTGATTATTATCGAATTATTTAAGTTTTATTCCGATACTATTTTAAAATTGTCACCCCTACTTCTTATTGTACTTCAACCGAGTATTAACTTTTGATATTCAAATAGCAACCCCTACTCCCTTTTTCAACACAAATTTAAGAAATTAATATTTGTCTAAGAATTTATATATACGCACACCACTAATATCAGATTTACCGTTTATAAGTGAAAACTCATACCAGTTTAAAATTTAAACCGAAGGAGTAGGGGACTATAGAGAAGAGTAATAAATTGATTATAATAATAGTAACGGATCATGATAAACGAATCACCCTGTGTGCCTGTATATAGTATAAATGTATGTGTTCATTAGGAACATATCAATTTTGAAATGGTAGCAAAATGATGAAAATTGATGGCCGTTTAAATCAAATGCGACTTCGACATCCGGTAATTCACTAAAAAAAAAAAACTAACTGGGAAATATAATATTCCAATTTTAAAAGAACGTTATTTTTCTTGTGAGATGCCTAATATTTTCACGTTCAAAGTGTAGTTACAAAATAATGTCTAATTATTATTATCATATTACGCTACCTACCGTGATGTAAACAAAGCCAGAAGTATCAAGTACTATTGACAAATACTACTCGTCGACTAGTGTGTATTTTTCTTTTCCTTTTCCGTAACCTAACCTTAAGTTAGACGTTGTAATTTCAGTCTAGGCACCACAAATCCGCTCATATAAAGTGCAATACGTCCCATAAAGAATAAGTAGGTAAGTACCTACTTACTTACCTACCTACTTATATCTACCATTTGTGCATAACTAATGTTTTTATTACGAGTATATAAGATTTCAGCGGTTTGATTGCGAGAATACATTATTATGTTATTCGCAGACAGCGGCTTATACCCGGGAGGATGGTTTCAATATCCTCCCGCTGACCGTCTTTAAACATAAAATAAATAATAAGAACCATTCAAAGTATTAAACATTTATTTTCTATAATAACAAACATTAAAGGAAGCGTTTTCGTATTTGTGTGTGTTCCACAGCCGAATCTATGAAACGCAAGGGTCTGAAAATGTTCACACAGAAGCGGGTGAACGGGTCCGTATGCATCTCGAAAACCGAATATCCGAAATTCAACACTTATGGGGTAGCTTACACAGAATGTTTTGTATTACGATAAAATAATAATTAATGTTTTTTTTTTTTTTTTTTTTTTTTTTTTTTTTTTGCTTTTTGAGTAAATTTGATGACACGGATAAAAAGGGAAACTCGTTTTAATAAATTTCTTTTATTTATTTCGGGTTTTGAAATGATTGTTTGATAATTTAAAAAAAAAAAAAGAAGGAATTAATTTGTACGGGCAACTCCGGGTGGGACAGCTATAGTTTACTAATAATAAAATAATGATAATTTCACATATTTTATTAAATATAAATAATATTGTACTATACAATAATTAAATGTACTTTACAAAAAAAAAAACCCCAAAAATAAGTTTGGTGTAATACATTTATTTTTCTTACATTTCAAGGCATATAAAATTTTGATTTACAATGTTTAACCCCTCCTACCTATCAAAAAATCTTGAGTACGCCCAAGTTCTGTCAATGTTCGCAGATTAAAATATATACTTTAACACAGTACCACCGAAAGGTTCAGTCAAATTCATATTATAATAATAATAATAATACATATATGAATTCGTGAAAATCACATCCAAAACAAGTTAAATAACCGATACTGTGAAAGTGAGACGTAATGACAGAAATAAATGTACTCTTATTATAAAAAAAAAAAAAGTAATGCGATCTCGTTGCGTTTCACTATTACGGTCGACGACGACACCGTGGGTTTACATTCTTATGAACAACTATGGTCTAAATAAAATATACTTTATTAATATATAATATGTTAGAGACGAATATATTATTATACTTACGCATTACTGGCTATTGCGTTTGTCATATTGCAATAATAATATTTCAACATTTCACTTTTCGTGTTTTACGAGATCGGTGCGTACGTTATTGGTTTTTTAAAACCGTTCGATTGCGCGAAATCTTGCTGACAGTAAACACAAATATTCTGGCAAAATTCCAAAAACATTATGAAAACAGTTCAAAGTCACAGTAATCTATCGATTTTGTGTGACGACTACCGACGTGGCAACCAGTGATTAAAATAGGAAAAACTTTGAAGAAGCACTCGAACATTATTTCTAAACCCAACCAAATTTCCAAGATACTCATGGAGTCAAGACTTCAAAAAATAATTTCTCTCACACAGCTTATACTTTTGTGTTCAAAAGCTTATGTTAATATAGTGTTTTAAAATAAACTCACATTCCATAGATGTTTATCCTATACGTCATGTATAGACAATAGACATACACGACGCAGACGCTCAGTAAAAATAAAGTAAAAAACAGTAAGATTATGTCTAAATCAAATATAAATGCAAATATAATACATTTAACCGGAGATTCTTCACTATATGCAGTAACATGGTTGCTGATTGACGTGGCTATTCATTTTAGTATAATATAATAATTTTTTAAATTTTTTCATAAATTCTTATACCATAACACACAGAAAATATGTTATTATCCTTAACTTTGATAATTGTTAAATTTAATATTAAAACTGTTTATATTTTATTTGGTTTTAAGTCTGAAATTATTTCAGCCAAATATAAATGTTCAATAATTTTACTCGACCGCAGGGAAAACATCCAACGTAAAAAGAGCTGATATTAGGGAACAGATGTGCTATTGATGTCAGTGGGAAGTTGAGAAACAAGGGTACATAAAGTTACCTATTTATTTTATTCATATCTGTAAGCAACAATAAAACATTGCTAACGAAAAACGATTCGTATTAAAGTTCGGTAATACATGTTTTAAAAGACCATAATATTTACGATTTTCATAAAAAATTAATATTAAAACTCTTATAAAAAAAAAAAATACTAGATTACAGTCATTTTTTTTTTTTTTTTTTTATCACTAAATATGACTTATAATGAACCTCCTGTTAAATTTTCAAGCATATCTATTTAGTCTAACAGTTTTAATTTACGTAAAATAGACGATCCTAATTAATTATATATAATTTCCATAGAAAAAAAAATAATATATAACACAAATAATACAGCCTCGTAACACATGTGATGCAGTATTAATGTGTTTTTCGATACTTAATTTTTTTAATTTTTTTAGTAAAAGTTGTTATATACTATGCGAATACGTTCTCCATGGGTCTTTTCTGGTGACCTCGCGGACGGTTTTCATTGATTATAATAATAATAATATTATTATTATTTTATAATTTTCATGAAGAATTTGCTATTTCGCCTCCGGCCTGTCGATGCTGGACGTATATACGAGTGCGCCGTGACCTGGAAATATTATCCGCGATGAGGTAATATTATGCATCCGTAGATGTCTGTATTTAGCTTTGGGCAGTTTCGGCGTTATATATTATAATGTACTGCTTTGGCTAAACGCCGGAAAAAATAATATTATTTTATTTGACTTTCATTTTACGATATTTATTTTTTTTTTTTCTTAAAAATATGGTGAAGACTTGTTTCTTCAACGGACGTTCACTCCAATCTATGTATTAAAGTAAGTACACATAATATAAGTTATATTATGTTCGGGTCTATTTGACAGCGGAGGCGTGAGTTGAGATGGCCGCAGTTCTCTTGATTATGACACGCTTTATAGATAAACTTATAGTAATCCGAGAAAACGATATAATCTATAAGTGGTTTCTACGGTTATTCTTGATCCGAATTACACAAAAAATAAAAATGAAAAATAATGGAACCTTTGTCACTGCAATTTTACTAATTTTCCTGCATTTTTTTTTTCCAGTTTATTAAAATTATTACGAAAACTACATTAAATAAAACGACCACTTTATCCGCTGACACCAAATAATTTGATTTAAAAAAAGGTGATACTCTTGAAACAGTATTTCTGGAAGAAAATTTGTTAACAGCCAGAAAAAAACAAATTATAAATTCAAACCTATAAATTCATCGTTCCACTCGAAATCTAAATTTAATACAGATGATGGATATACCATTGTTATTGGTGTGTAGTTAGAAAAGGAGGATATATAGGCTGATTTAGCTTATATACTATTTTCAACGATAGAATTGTTAATGAAAAGACGATTATGAGTGTAGGATATATTAGTTATATTTTTCCTCCCAAAGCCAAAGTAACCAAGAAATTAAAAATGAAATCAACGTATCAATATTTATTGTCAGATTTTTTATGTTTTAAAGAAAATCTTTTGAAAATCTAGACATTTTCTTCAAATAAAATATTAGCCGGCAAAAAATGTGCATATTTTAAGGTACGGTATGAATAATTTGGAGCACGATATCCCTTACTGAAAGAGGTTTTTTTATAAGAAAAGCGTCCCCCAAAAAAAGACATAGGGGTAAATTCGATGAGAAATTTGAAAAAAAATGTTATAAATAAAGGACCACCAGACAGAAATTATACATATTTTTAAATATCACGTAAAATAAATGGATCACTATACAAATCAAAAAAATATTATAACAGAAAAAGCCAACTCAAATACACACATCATAGAAGGAGTGGTCAAACGAAAGGGGAGGAGGGGGTGAGAAGGTAGATAATAATAGTTCCTTAAAATTATCTTTATCTCCTCCTCCCCTATGACAAAATCATTTA